GCTGATATTCCTTCTCCGGTAGTTGACAGCCTCACAGAAGACCTGATGCTAATTCCATTGTGGTGATTGATGGATTCTTAATCACTTCAGTGGATAATCTAAAAACCTTAGGTGGAAACCTCAAGTCAAGGCTTACATTTGAATTGCAATTGCAGTTTCATCAAAGTTAGGTATAATTTGCCTTTATGAAGATGATAACTTTACTTTTAGGTGCTTATTTTCTCTCATTCTACCTTATTTTCAGTATTGTTCTCTTTTGTGATTATCTGCTGTAGAGTCACATTTAAGACTGCTAGATCGTTCTTTTAATTCCAGTAAATTTCTACTTAGATTTGGACATTTGACATAGTAGGGATAGTAGGGAACTTCAGTATTATACAAGATGGTAACATAATTCACATTTTTTTTTACCTGCTTTTTATCAACCTGCTAGAGTGACTATAAGTTCTGTAACCCTCTGTTCAATGAAATTTGATGAAGTCAATAGTCTCTAAATTTCAGTTTCTATTTTTTTTACTGCTATTTATAGGCTTTGGAATAAATTTGCTTCAGTTATTGTACCTTCTCCGACTCATGATAAGTTTAAAAGATCAGCTAATATGTTTTTACTATGTAAATAGCTGATGATTTTTTTATCTGCACTTCAGTGTGGCTACAGTAATAATAATGATAATAATAGTAATCAAAATAATGATTCCCCCAAGACCATGAAATACCGGGTTAGCGTCCGGCTGGGCCCAGTCTGTCTCGTGGGCAGGGGGGATAAAAATACTGGTGGTTATGGCACCTTAGCCCCACATTATGAATGTAATGTCTACAATTGATTTACCAAATAACGGCATGAATGAGACCGGATCAATACTTGAAGGTCTTTCGCAGGTGTCCCATGGAAGAGCAACGTGAAGAAAATGGTCTCAAGAAGACAACAGAATAATTATGGGATGCTACTACCAGAGTGAGCTAAGACTGAATGGATATCAGAAGGAAATGCATAGACGTTGGATAGAAAAGGAAATATTCCCTGTAATGAAGCAGAAAAATAACACTGTGAACAAAAAATGGCTCTCCGATCTCGAACTGGAAGAGATTAGAAGAAACGTAGAGGACGTATAACAGAGAGTAATACTTGAAGAAGTGGAAGTTGATACAGTAGATGATGTTGCTATGGGATTAACAGTAAAGAACGATAAAGATGAAGAGATCGATGTTAATGAAGAAAGCAGTTTTAATGACACAGAAAAGGGACTAATCGAGCGACTGAAAAACATCTTAGATTAGAAAAGGGAAGACTGCAATCTGCGGTCCAAAAAGTTGATACCTTTTTAGGGAAAATGAAATCAAACAACATCTCATATATGCAGGTGCAGTTTTAGTCAGGGAGTTGCTAGGACTAAAGAAGCCGAATCGAAATGCCAAAAGAGAACCATGGTGGAAAAGAAGACTTGAAGGGCGAGTGAAGGAGATGAACAAAGATCTTTGTGAATATGTTGACTGAAAAGAAGAAAATTGAACATAAGCATAGAAACAAATGCAAAGTAAATATAAGATCACACAGAAGGGACCTGCCACTGTGAAGGAAGAAATATTACAAAAGATATCACAGGAAAGACATAACAATCAGATAATCCAATATCAACAGATCAGGGCATTTTAGAGTATTCAAGGAAAATTTTCTCAACAGTTGAACAACATGAAGCAGATGATGTTCCAGATGCAGAAGCTGCGAAGGAATTTTGGGAGTAGAGAAAAAGGACAATGAATCAGCTAAAGGGGAATTTAAGAATGAGAGGAAGGGAAACACCTTAGAGCAAGGAAGCTTAACCATTCTGGAATAGATAATGCAGCAAGTGCTGAGAAAGATACCCAACTGGAAAGCACCAGGCCCTGATGGGGCACAATGATACTGGCTGAAAAAGTTCATAAGCATGCATAAAACCCTCATAAAGCACCTTGAAGAGTGCCTGGAGGATGGGACACCTAAGTGGATGATCAAAGGGAGGACAATCTTGATACAGAAAGACAAAGAGGAAGGAAGTACTGTGAGTAACTACATGTCTATAACCTGCCTACCGCTGCTATGGAAACTGCTGACAGGAATAATTGCTAATGAAATGTACAATCATCTAGATTCAAGATCACTGTTACCTGAAGAGTAGAAAGGGTGTAGAAGAAAATCTTCCAAGGAGATAGATTATCTCCTTTGCTGTTTGTAATTGCGTTACTTCCCTTGATACAAATTTTCTAAGAGCGGAGAGAAGGTTAACCATCTTTCATTTATGGATGACCTAAAGTTGTATGCAAATAATGAAAAATCGTTGGACTCCTTAATTCAAACAGTTCAGATTTTCAGCAAAGATATTGGAATGGAGTTTGGAATAGAAAAGTGTGCCATGCTAGCTTTGAAAAGAGGAAAGGTAGTTACAAGTTACCGGACGAGTCTGTGGTTAAGTCAATAAAGGCTGGAAAAAGATACAAATATTTAGGAATACTTCAAGCAGATCAGATAAGACACCAGGAAATGAAATATAAAGCTACGAAAGAGTACAAGAGAAGGGTACAGAAAATTCTGGAAACAAAACTAAATAGAAGGAATCTTATAAAAGGCTTCAACACTTGGCCAGTATCGCTGCTCAGATTAAGCTGCATTTCTGGACTGGTAAAATTTTGAGATGGAACAGCTAGATAGACAGACAAGGAAACTGATGACAATGCATAATGCCTTCTATTTGAAAAGCAGCATTGATAGGTTATATTTACCACGGAAAGATGGGGGAAGAGGACTTTTGGTAGTAGAGGATACAATCAATATAGGTAAAGTTTCAGAATCATGGAAGAGCGTGAAGTAATTGAGTCTAAAACTGATCTGCAGAAAAGAAAGAGAACGTAAAGAAAAGAAAATTGATGATATCGCTGGTGAGGACAGGTGGCTATGACTTAAGCAGGGAAGCGTGAAGTGGGAAACAGAACCTTTAATCGTTTCAGCACAAGAAAAAGCAGTCCGTACTAATGTGATTAAAGCGAAAATTGATAAGACTCAGGAGCAAAGTAAATGTAGAATGTGCGGAGAAAAGGACGAGATGTTTGTAAATAATATGGCATCGACGTGAATGATAAATGGTATCAACACGAGCCAGGCTCTGTGATAGAAAACGACAGATGTAAGATTTATGGGATTCTACAGTGCAGACACACCATGTTATCCAAGGCGCCCAGATGTGATAGTCATTGATAATACTAATAATGATAATACTAATAATCATTATTGTTATATCATTATCATTATTATTACTATTATTTTCCCGTATCATCATTACTAGAGTGATCAATATTATTATTATTATCAATGGTATTACCATTGTTACTATTCTCATCGTCATCATTATCCTCATCGTTATTGTTATTATCATTGTTATCATTATCGTTATTATCATTATCATCAACATTATCATTATAATCAACATTATCATTATTGTTATTTATCTTAATGATAACAACAACAAAAATTATAATGATAATGATAATAATGATGATAATAACAGTAATCAAAATGATATAATCAGTTATAATCAGTATCACTACCATGATTCTTATTATCAATTTAAGTATTACTACCAATATTTTTATTATTAATAGTCGTAGTAGTAGCAGTACCAGTTCGACCTCCATCATTATCATCACCAATATTAACATTAACATTATTGTATTCACCATTATCATGATCTTGATTAGCATGATTTTATTATTATCATTGCTATTATCACTGTTGATATTATTTCAATATCATTATTGTTCTTATTGTTGTTATCAATATTATTCTTATAGTCATTATCATTGCTATTGATATTATTATCATCACTATTATTATCACTATTGTAATTATTATTATTACTAGTATTGTCATTATCTTTATTATCATTATTATTATTATTATTATTATTATTATTATTATTATTATTATTATTATTATTATTATTATTATTATTATCACTATTATCTATTATTGTTGTCACTGTTATCATCGTCATTATCATTAGCATTATCATAATTATTTCTATCGTTACCGTAATCATCACCATCATCAGTATTCTCCTCCTCTTCATCATCATCATATCCATTATCATTATCACCATCATCATCAACAGCATCCTTCTCATCATCATCATATTATTGTTATTATCATTACTACTGTAATTGTCATCATTATTACCATTATCATTATTATTGCGATATCATTATTGTTATCATATTTATTGTCACTGTTATCACTATTACTCATAATAATAATAATAATAAAAATAATAGTAATAATAATAATAATAGTGATAATAATAATAATAATAATAAAAATAATAGTAATAATAATAATAATAGTGATAATAATAATAATAATAATAAAAATAATAGTAATAATAATAATAATAGTGATAATAGTAATAATAATAATAATAAAAATAATAGTAATGATAATAATAATAGTGATAATAATAATAATAATAATAATAATTATAATGATAATAATAATAATAATAATAATAATAATGATAATAATAATTATTATTATTTTCATCATCATTATCATCATTATCCTAATTATTATCAGTTCAGTTTTTAATCATTATTATTATTGGCAGCCTCCGGGCTAGTACAGTGGTAACGTGTCGACCTCTCATCCGAGGGGTCGGCGGTTGCAATTGTCGCCTGGAGGTTACTGCTGTGGCTGGGCACCACGGTGGGTAAGGACTAAGCTCATCCGAGTCAGCACCTGCTGACACACTGTTAGCGAGTCGACATTAGTCGGCACAGGCCGGGCTCCCCCATAGCCCGGGCGAGGCTCAGCTTCGCATATCGGACTTATTGTTATTATTGGCATTGTTTTCATTGTTATGATTATTATTATCATTATTATAGATATCATTATAGATATTATTATTATAGATATTATAGACAAGCAGACGGAAATAAGGGAATATGAACTGAGTAAAAGGAGAAAGAAACAACTATTATTTTTTCAACAAACATTCCTAATGTTGAAATAGTTACTATGAAATGATGAATTTCGGAAATACTGCGTCCAAGGTGACGCCTAAATCTAAAAGATGATTGCCATATCTACATTTTCTTGGGGCAACTAATACTTATTACTAAGGGAAGTCGACGCGATGGAAGCAGTTCTATTGCCGCTTCGGTCACAGCCTCTGAGTTCTTGCAGGTACTCGATAACAGACAGGATGACTAGCGATGCCCTTTCCCGCGAGTGCCTCGAGTCGAGGAAGAAGGGTATTTCTTCGACCCTCGGTCGTCCATTATCCGCGCATGTTGCCCTTTTGTAAATCGATATGATTCGCTCGAGGAACTTTGAGGGACCCCAGTCCTCCAGCGTCGTGCATGAAAGTTCATCGAAGAACATTGAGGAGAGGAGGGACTGGGAGAGAGCCACGATCCCAGCAACATAGTTCCCCCACGCACGACCGTGTCTTCGGCTGTGTTGTCTAGGGAACCACCAGCAAGAATACAGTAGGTTTGTCAGGAGTTTACAAGCCAATAAAACACATCTTTGTTCTTCGGTTATCTGAGCTAATATCTCACTTTCCAGCTGAACTAGGACGTAGCTCCACCTGTCCCTTCCTTTATTGGCAATGTGGACAGGAACCTCATTCTTTAAATATCTATCCAGCAGCTTGGACACATGTTCGTTTTGGTTGTCTTTCGGATACGTTGTCTTCAGCACGGGAATGAGCAGGACTCGTATTAGTCTAACTTTGCCTGCGTTGTACCACACGAGGTATACTGAAGTACCAATATCTGCTTTGGAGATGCAAGGGTACGTGAGCCACATGTATTTAGAGGTAAAAGTGTACGTGCTTAGTGATTTTCTGATAGCTTTGTGGAATTCGTCCCTAAAACAGCAGTTCCGAAATTCACCCTCAGGGGAAAATGTGAGTAAACATTGCTCTGCACCGCTGTGCTCTGGGTTTACTCTGGTGCATGCTTCGATATTAACCTGCCAGTACACTTGAAAGGAATCTTCTGGCACTATAGAAGGGAGTGTCCCTTCAGGATTTGGAATGACCATTTCCCCGCAGAACCTTGGGTCTTCTTGGCATACAACTTTCAGCAAATTTGCCATTTCATTTACTATGTCAGATGACTGTGGCTGTCTAAACATCGTTCTTTTAACTGTGTCATGGAAACTCTGCTCGTCTGTGATTCCCAAGTGCAAGCCCTTCCTCTGAAGCAGAATCTTGGTTTTCTTGATGGCGTATGGACAACTCAACACGCTCAGTCGATCTTTCTCTGGAAGAAGAATCTTGCTGTAGTCTTCCACAAGAGCCTTATATCCGTCGGCCAACTGCATTGCCGTCAAGCCAGCATGGGTTCGAGTATCCTTGGAGTGACCCTGGGTCTCCATGTGAGCATGCAAGTACCGCATGCACTCTCGGTTACCTCTGAGTGCCGCCAGGTGGGCTGCTGTAAACCCATTCTTTCCCTTTGCCATCACGTTTGCCTTGTTCAGCAAAAGGTATTCGACCATATTTAGCTGACCATAAAGTGCTGCCAGGTGAAGCAAATTATATCCTGTGAGTTGTTCAACTGCATGATTTATATCAGGGGCTCTTCCTATTTTCACTACTTTGTGGTAAATTGTTACAAGTCCTAGTTTTGCGATGCCTTGCAGCCATGTACTTTCGCCAAGTCCATTCTCTTCTTTCGTCATTTGGAACTGCCTGTCCATGCGCCCATCAACACCTGCTTTTTCCAGAAACCTGTTCAACTTTTTTAATTCACAATGAATTACATTGTCTATAACATCCTTTGGCAGTGTTGTCTCATCAGTGGCTGAAAACAAAGACATATTCAAGTCACGGTAGAGCACAGACAGCATATGGTTGTGTTTATTCTCCACAGCCTTTTTGACGGGTTTGTCTTCATCGAGGAGAGGCTGCAGGAACACGTCATCTAGGCCTAACACTTGACATGTAAGAGTCAGCCCGAGGCCGGCCGCGATGCACAAATACTTTCTTATATTTTCTTCTTCCGTGAAGTGCCAAGAAGCGTCTTTACCTTTGGACTCCAATTCACAGGCGAATTCCCTCATGTGGCTTTGAAGACGACTCGACTCTTGATCATGTCCCAAAATCTTGGTGGTTTCAAATCGAAGCTTGTTTGCATATTCCTAAAATAAATAGACGTGAACTGAATTACAAAAATGACAAGGAAAGTTTGTTTTCTTACCTCCAAATCTACTCACTAATCTCTCTATATCTGTGGCTTCCAACCTCTTTTAGCAGGTGACCCACCCATGAACATCTTTAAGTTGTTACAATTCCGCCTAAAGTTTATACATTGCAATAAAACCTTGCAGCAAGTATAATTCATTCAGCTGCTACAGCTGAATGACCATTGTTGTCATAGTGAATACCCAATTTACGGCCATATTTTACAGAAGTATGACCTTTTTTGAAAACTCATTTCCCTGAACTTTGTTGGAACTATGGGGTT